ACAGGATGGGAACTATAAAAAAGAGGACAACTCCAGTGAAAATGATCAGTTTAGGTGCCAGACTGCCTAATGGGCCAGGCACACCATTTGTTGGTATTCTTGGAAAGGTTGTGTACCTGAAAAATGTCCAAGAACCTTTGCAATTTTTGCATATAGTTACTGTAGGATACATTTTCCAAGAAACCTCCCGTCTTCCATTGCACACCTGGAAATGCAGGTTGTAAAAGTAGCACAGCCAATCTGTACACCACCTTTCAGCAAGTTACATAGAGACAGAATATTAACTTGCCCATAATACCATAGAATCATAGAATATCTCAAGTTGGAAGTGATCCATAGGGATCGTCACATCCAACTCCCTGCTCCTCACAGGACCATCTGCATACTATATATTTAAGGTCCTTTCCAACCCAAACCTTCTATGATTCTATAATTATATTATATTCATATGAAAAATCCACAATATTGAAATAGTGTGTGTTCAGTACTTTTAGGCCAGGCAAATATACAATAGTAAACAAAACAATAGTAAGCCAAAAAAGAAATGTTCGCTATTTGAACAACAAGACAATTTGTAGTATTTGTACTACAAGACAATCTTTCACATCCTTGACTATAAGGCTGTTCCCTGTATCTCTCCTTACTACTCATACCACTCTCTCCCTCCACTACACTCTCCTAGAAGATTCTCCTTTTTCCTTTTATCCTAACTTTTTCTTCTATGTCCAACATTTTCTAGTAATAGCCACCAAGGAAAGCCCTCTGAGTTCAGGTCAGGACTTTCCCCTTCATCTTCCCCAGCTAGGTATCTATTTGAGATACCATTTCTAAGCTTCTCCCAAACAAAAATTCACATACCTGAAAAACACTAAAATAGACTTTTTTCCTTGCAGCTCAAGACATCTTTTTCCAGATCTACATCATAATCTTTCCTCATATAAACCAGAAATGTAATCACAAAGCTTTTCCATATTACTCAAGCCTTTTGTGTGTAATGTACAGGACCACTAAGTAATTTTCTAGCACCAAGTTACATGAAAACACAATATTAATTTGGAACACAAGAGTTATTTTTCATTTAAAGGTGCTCTTGCAGCTCAGGCAAAGCCAAGTTATTATTAGAAAAGTCATCACTAATATTTGCTTATTATAACCTTGCCCGAAGATTGATTGTGTAGCATGCCTAGAGAAACTCATGGCATCCCTGGGTTATGCTAGTCTCTGCACAATGACACTGCTGATGTCATTAACTCGCACCTTCCTCATGGCATCACTGGAGGATGTATGATCCTCTTGCATCATAGTCTCTTCAGGATTCAGGTCTTAATTAACACTTTGAGTCATATTAGCCCCAACGGTAAAACCCTCTGTGCAGTCATTAGTAACAGTTCCATTCAGTTCCACTCCTGATTTCAGAGAAAATGTGACCCAGTAGATTTAAGAAAACCTAAACTTCAGATAAATAATTCAGCTTCATTACATAAAGTTTACAAAATGCCTGAAAAAAGAAGATAGAGAAATACATATGGAAGATGAAGAAATTCTCTTAATAGAAAGTAATAGTTCAGATGCAGCAGACAATAAATTAGTGTCTCCTGTGTATAAAAATAATCTAGAGGAAGGCTTAAAATCAGAAGTAATTGAAAGCTCCCATATAAATCTGGGATAACTAGAAATAGAAAAGCCAGTATAAATATCTAAGCCGTTAGGAGCTCTTAAGGTCAGGTGATAGCACAAGAGAAAGCAACATGAAGTGATCCAAAATTAATAAGAATGCAGAATATGAGTCAGCAAAGAGATCTGCCTCAGACCAAGACTAATTAAAGGGTATTTTTCCCCTTAAGTAATGCTTTTTAGGCCTTTTCCTCTTTTTTTTTTTTTTTTTTTTTTTTTTTTTTAAGTCAGACTAACCCTCTGGGTACATGAATATACATCAGAAATACATGTCTTTACAGAAACAACAGAACTCCCCAGAACAGCTAACCTTGATAATGGCTGAGAAAAATGTCTGAATCAGAAATCAGAAGCTAAATCAAACAAGGAAAGTTATATTAAAAAGCCTATTCTACACTGAGTCATTTTTACATTGGCTTTGGCTGTGTCTAGCATTTGATACAAAAGGAAAAGTAAATTTTCTCAGGAACCATCCATGACCAACCACCCTTGAAAAGCTGTTTTGAAGAAAACAGTTTTGATAAATTCTTATTTTTAAAATGTATGTAAATATTTTTTTAAAAAGTAAAAAAAAAAAAAGGCAGAAAACTAAAATAGGATATATAGAGAGAAATTACATATCATTTGCTTAAAAAAAACACAGTAGGTTACCAAATATATATATATTTATACATATAAAATTAGGAATATATATATAATTAGGACATTAAAAGTGTACAAAGTTCACAGAAGGTTTAGGCAAGGCAACTATCTGAAACCTGACAACTTCTGTAAGTCAGCTCTGTCCTTCTTGGACTTGAGTACAGGAATGTTTCAATAGGTCATTTCAGTCACTTGGCTGCAAAAGCAATCTTAGGTATGTGTTGTAGTCATGTAATTAATGTTTGTAAATTCTGGTGATTTCCAGGCAATTAAAAAAAAAGTACTTAAAAAACAACTTAGAGATGTTCCAACACTAAAGAGAAGCATCATTGGTCAGTATTTAAAGGATGGCAAATCAAATTCAGTTGTGTGAAGTGTGTGTGTGGAGTTTTTTCCACCTTTTGGGGGATGAATTTCACTCTGCACTGAAGTGGCACAATTAATAAAGATGTCATGCAGAAGTCTTGCTGATACACATCCTGAAATGATGGCATGCAGCTTAAAATAACAGGTACTCTACATTGTCTGCAGCGCTGGCAGTAATGGCAACCTCAGGCATTAAATTATGAGTCACATCCACCTAAATAATAAAATTGGTTTTAAAGTTGTAAGTCTTTAGCCACTAATACATCTGGAGGACTTTTTAATTTCATTTAAGATGCACTGACTTGATCATTTAAAATTATCTGAGAAGTTCTGAAAACTATAAAACTTCTTTTTAAAAAAAAAAAAGGAAAAACTGAAGGAACATCCTTTCCCTATTTTAATCTTCTATGTCAGGGAACTGAATTGTACTATCCTTTTCAAACTGTGACCATGGGGTTGCCTAAAATGAGGCAGGCACCTTTCTTCATATTCACAGGACAACTATTTTGGAATGTTTTCTAAAGTAAACATGAGATGCTTACTTAGTTTTCTTAAAGTTTTAAGATCAAACCACCACAGACACACATAGATTAACTTTGAGTCTCAAGAAAATCTAAGGTTTGGCTGTGATAACTTAAAAGCATCAGACCTGTATAGGTTGATGGGAAAATAGGGGGAAAAACTGGTGCGTTCACAAAGTTCTGCAAATGACTTATAATATTCTGCAATAAGAATAATACGGAGTGCTACATAAACAACTGCCCACTGAGTTAAAACAGGAAAACACAAAAAAAATGCATCTATTTTACATTCATTTGACTGAAGCAGAGAAGCTTCCACAGATAACAGTGATGTACCTTGTCTTATGGAAGCTATGGGAATTGAAAGTGTGAACTCCTGCTAAGAAGAAAAGGCAGGGAAATGGGTACCTCCTGTGGTACCTGTGCACGGAAAGTGACTAAGCAAAGTCTCACTGCCTACAAGAAGGTTAGTCCTCAGGATAGCGTGCAGCAGCAGTTTCACTCTCAGACTGATTCTTTAGCTGTGTGAAACTGTACTGATAAAAGGACTGCTTGGGTGGGACTCATCTCCTCCAACTTTACACACCTCCAGTATAGACATTTACATCGAGGCTCCCCTGATAAAGAAAGAGAGAAGTCAGTACTTCTGGGCTGTAGTTCATCCCATTTTGAAGTCTTATTCAGAACATGTCAGGTCAGTCCTGACTGAGAAGTGCCTGTTTTGTTCCACTGAACAAAAAGGGAGCTTAGGACGACCAGCTGAGTAGATATCTACAGTTAGGTGAATTAATCCCTCTTTTTTCTTTCTTTCACTTTAAATGACATGACCAAACTCATCTGCAAGTCTATGTGGATATGTAACTGCTCAGGGAATCCCAGCCTGCTGTTACATCCTTTAAGCCTATTTCTAATAGCTCCACTCTGTAAAAAGCATGTTTATGAATTCATCTGGATCCCCCCGTGCATGTTTGCTCAATATCTTCTGACTCTAAACTCATATGAATCAGACTGATGTGAGGAGGAATGAAAAAGAAGAAATTACCCAGGTTTGGCATCTTACATGATAGAAGAGAAAGGGATTGCTGGCAAAAACACTTTAAAGAAATAGTTACTTCTCATTTAAAGCATAGAGAATCGTGAGGTTACAATGCAACATGGTGTTCACACTAATAGTTCAGCATTAACTTTGATGATACAAAACATGATTGAAATACAGATTAAATTAGCAAGTCAGAAATAGAATAGATATGGAAATTAATCTGATTCACACATGGCTACATTTGTTGAAGGGGAAGAATTAGTTGCTACCATCAAGAAAGACTGAATAACTGAAAAGAGGGAGACCAAATATCAACAGATGTAGTTAGCAACAATACTAAAATGAACATCGTGACTTCAAAGACACCATTATTTTTAAATCACATATTAAAAAAAGCTCTACTTCTTGTTTCCCCAAGAAACACTACTGACTGTGGAGTACAGTGATCTTCAAGTCATAAACATTCATGTGCGTCACTTAGAGGAATATTTTCCAATCTATTTATAACTTGATTTGTTACTTGGCCACGGTTCCTAATCTGTCCATCAATGTTATAAGCATCTGCCCTATGCCAATGAACAAATGAGTTCATTTTCTACCACGAAGTCACGAGCCATCTATCTACATGTCACGTTCTGTACACATCAGGCTGACACTGCCCATAACTGCATAGACAGCAAAAATAACAATAAAAGCATGTTTCAATAATTATTTTTTTTGTTAATGATAAATAGAAAACCTAAGCCATTCGTACTCACCACCAAGGCTTTAGATCTGTTACTCAGAAGTTTTTCAATGTCTCTGGCTGCAATTTCCACTAGCTGACGAGGGTTGTTGGCTTCTACGGTATACAAATGTCTGTTTTTCAAATAAATCTGCAAGAGGAAAAATGGGAAATATATCAAAAATGGCAACAGATATCCAAAATAAGCAAAGCGACTTGACAGAGCAGGCATCAAGATGTCCTCTGTTCTTACAGGAAAGCTTCAGAAAGGCTACGGCTAGGAAAATCCAAACACGCTTTGTGAAAGAAATGCTTCACCTTTTTGTCTGAGAAGTAGAAGGTGCCACTAAAAATCATTTTCACAAATCTTCAAAACTGACTGCTTCTGCTGATGGACTGTTCAACTGCTAAATTCCCATAGAGTGATGAGAGAAAAGTAAAATGGAGATTCTTTAAAATGAAAAAAAAGTTGAAATAAAATAATTATTGTTGAATTTAATTCTTCCTTGAATGCTGAACAATAAACATACCGTTTAGAAGAAAATCACCTAACTTATGCTAATGTAATCAGTTTTGTCCCTTATCTATTTACTCATATTATAGTGTTAGTACTCGTGAGGAAAAAAGAGGAAGAAAAAATAAAGAAGAAAAAAGGGAAAAGAAAAAAGTTTGAAATGGGGAAAAAAGGAAGGGGAAAAAAGAGGGGGATAGGAACTATAATTGTGTTTCTCTTCATGAATAAAGGTTATCTGTGGTGAGGAGCCATTAACTGTTTCCAAAGCAGAATGCTTATATAAAGGAGATAATTTGATTTGTTAAACAAAGCCACTACAATGAAATGCAAGCAACAGCAAGAAGCAAAGAAGAAGAAATCAATTTGCCTACCTCTGTCCTACTAGAACTGAATAAAGAAAAAACACATTATTTGAGGGGGAAGGGGGGGGAGAGGGGTGCAGGGAGGGCTAAAAATCAAAAAAGAAGTGGATACCTTATGGCTAGATGGGCAAATGGGGAAAACTAATTTATGCAACCAACAGATGGCCTGAGTTTACTCAAGTACTCTGCCTCTCCGCAACGCTGCCTGGTGGGGGCTGCGCTGTCTCCCGGGGAGCAATTCCAGGCACAGGCAGGAGCGAGTCCAGCACTAAGGCTCTGGCTGCCATCCAGCAAAGGAACAGAGAAACTGCAGAGCAGACTGAGTCTACCAGCCCCGCCAGGTTTCTGGGGTTAAAGCTATGGAGACCTTAAAGAACCTCAGCAAAATACGGCTCTGATGTTCGTAGCTGATGGGTATTTATCACAAACGAATTTCTGACAACTACAGTTATAGCTGCAATTTTTTGTCAGGCCTGTCTTGTAAGCTGTCATAGGTTTTCATCACTTTGGAATCTCAAAACACATGTTGGGTTTTGGTTTTTCTTCCTTCAGAAGTACAGTCTTTCCTTTCTACCAGTAACTGAATAATTGGAATAGGCTTGGATTCTTCACAGAGGTACAATTATCTTAAAAATTCATCATGAGCAGAAAACCATTATGAAAGAAGATAGTTTCTAATGAACCTCCAATTATATTTGGGTGGATTGAGGTGATTGATTTTATATTGGAGGTGCTCAGTTTTCAAAATTACCACACAGAATGTTTATCTCAGGAATAACCCAAAATATCTTTTTTTTTTTTTAGGACAGATCTTAATAGTAGAAAGTGCCTACAGGCCAACTAATAATTTTAAAAAAAAATTATCCTACAATTGGTCACTACAGAATTTCTTACATTTTTCTCTGAAAAAGACAAAATTTGCACAGTTAACAGTGGAATTCAGAGTTAAATTGACTGTAGTGAGCAGAAGAGCCCTACATTCCTACAAGCAAGGCAAGAGTTGAAATCAGTTTTATAGATTCAAATGGTTTGAATCAGGAATGGAAATTTCAGAGAAGCACCTAAATTGGAGTGAACATCAAACCTGGCAAAACTATCAGATTTCCCATCATCAGCAAATATTCACCCTGACCATGTACGGACCAGGCACTAGAAGACGGGCATTATCAGGTGTTTGTGTCTTATTCTTTGATGAGAAAAGTAGTGCCAAATTATTTAAACATCACTTGGGACTATGTGTGGTACCCATGCATCAAATGTTACTAAATTTATAGGATAACACTCACAAGACTTTGCAAATAGGCTAGAAAACTGTAAAATAACTTTTACTGACTTTTTTAAATAATAAAAAGAAATTGCTTTAAAGCATGCATTTATTTTCCTTTTGAAAATATTTGGTTTGTTTTATCCAGATTTTTTCTGGTTTCTCTTTTTTTCAAATTCGTTCATGCAATTGCTTTTCATTTGCTACTCAATGGTGAAAGGAATAAGACAATTTAAATATAATCCCTTTTCATTTGGGCGTTTCAATTAGGCAAAAAGATCTTAAAATTTGGGGAAAATAATAGTTCATTGCAAAAATGTCATTTCATTGTAATTAAATTTTTCACTCAGTATTTTAAACAACCATTAAGAAGGCCACAAACAAACAAAATACACAATAGGGGCACAAGTAACTATGTGCTCAAGTACTGCAGGTTTGGGGCAGATGGATGATAGGGATGAGTTGGAGACCACACTGACCAGCTGTATAAGGGCCAGTGGTGATTCTTTGACATCTTTAAACACTCACTGAAACGTGGTTTCTAACAGTCCTGTGATCTAACAGCCTCAGCAGAAGTCAAGGTGATGGTGCACTGCATCCACCCAACCATGATTTTGCACCCCACCAGCCAGAAACTCAGTACCAATAATTCACTGGAGTTAATTTTTCACTCTAGAGCAAAGTAAGCCATACTGGTAATGATTTGAGAACCTGGATGGAAAAATTGTGCTTTCATCCCTGTATCTAATCATATAACAAACATATGGTCTTATAAACCCAAATTGGAAAGCACACAAATTTTTCACAGACCCCATTCCTTGTTCCCATACCTCCAGGCTTGAATGGTTTGAAAACTGCTGACTACCAAAGTGTGGTCTAGTAGGTACATTCGTAGGAAAAAAAAAAAAAAAAAAACCAGCCAGAAACTCAGTACCAATAATTCACTGGAGTTAATTTTTCACTCTAGAGCAAAGTAAGCCATACTGGTAATGATTTGAGAACCTGGATGGAAAAATTGTGCTTTCATCCCTGTATCTAATCATATAACAAACATATGGTCTTATAAACCCAAATTGGAAAGCACACAAATTTTTCACAGACCCCATTCCTTGTTCCCATACCTCCAGGCTTGAATGGTTTGAAAACTGCTGACTACCAAAGTGTGGTCTAGTAGGTACATTCGTAGGAAAAAAAAAAAAAAAGAAACATTTTCATTTTTTTTCTTCTCCAGCAACTGTCAGAATAGTTCAAAAGCTTGTATCATTTAACAAGGAGATCACCACTGCAGGAGACAGGAGTCCTATTCATATTTGAACTTAAAACCTTTATAACAGGCATTGTGGGTCCTACCACTGAGAAAGCCTGTCTCTGAGGCTGGTTTCACAAGCTGTTATCAGTCAGTGATTAAAAAAAAAAAAATTCAAACCAATCTCCCCCCAAAAAACCCCTTTGAGTTTTGCACAAGTTCCCACATAGAGTTGAGTCAGTGACTCTTTCTCCTCCTCTTTGCTTTACCCCATGTCAGGGCTTGAAGCACCTCTCGCCCCTGTTTCCACTGCCATTGGAAGACCGATCCCACAAGCTCCTAAACAAAAGGCATCAGAAATAACTGAGAACTTCACACTCCTCTTTATTTTCCTGAAGTGTGAGCCCCACTCAACTACCGAGGAACAGTGTAAGAAATATTCACTAATTATTTAAGAGGTGCGTGCATAATTTATTTGTTGCCTATTCCTCTTTTCTTTAATTCAGCCGTCGCACTGCAGCAGTTCAGTGCCAGAACATGTGGGGAAACACTACACGCTTCAGGATTTGGCACCCCATGACAAACTTTTCCTCCTCCCACCCAGCAGTCAAACACAATTAACAAAAGCTCATCTCAAATAGGCATGAAGGGTCTTATCAGCGAAGGTGTGCTCATTCATCTTTCCAAAGAAAAATTGGCAGGCTCCGTGGCTTGTTAAGAAGAACTAATTTCAATACATTTTATTAAATTGCTTTAAACTGAATGCAAGTTTTGGTTGGCTTTTAAGTCTAAAGTCATTTTTATTACTTTAATCGTGAATGTTTTGCTAAAAGCTCTCCAAATTGTCAGCAAAACCCTACAATTTCTCACAGAATAAAGCCGCATGTCATGACTAAGTGAAATCTGTAAGGTCATAGAATAAAAAATACTTTAATTTTTCTCTGCATTCAATAGCCATGTACTTCTTCATTCAGGCAAGGATGTATTAAAATTGTTTTCTAAATGCTGAATTTTTATTCTAGTATAATGAAATGCAAGGCTTTAGGGGAGAGAACATGATGGGGAGAGTCACATTAGGATGAAACAACACAAGAAGGACAATAGTTGAATGTAGTAAAGATTGGAAAAACTGCCAACTCCTCAGCAGAACATGCCCCTCTCCACTCAGCCTTCAAGGACACATTTATACATCTCCCACAAAGAGACATCGTCTTTGCTCTCTGTAAGATTCGTGAAGGAAAGTCAAACATTTCTATACAAATTGAGAGAGAATTAAAGATGCACCTTCATTGCAGGGCTTTTGCTACATTGTGGCAGGCACTGGGGCCCACTGAAACACTGAAATTTTATTCAAATGGCCCTCAGGTTTTATTACACTCAGAAAAAGTTCCTGAGAGTAATAAATTATCTGTGCTTCAGATCTGTGGTCTTGGCACTGTTTACACAGACTACCCAAAGAACAAGGAATAAGAATTCATGTTGAATTATTCTAAACTACAACAGAGTTCCTTTGTCTGTTTATTTATCTGTTTGTCTGTTTGTTTGAAACTGTCAGTCTCCCAATTTAAAAAACAACAGAGTGTCATGGGACACAAGATCTTCAGAAGTTCAAATCCAGAATTTCAAAAGTTAACCAAAAACACTCTATCTTTTCCTACCTTGAAATATGCTTTGGAATAGAGAAACAAATTATCTCAACAATTCCAGTAATACCTCTATATAGAAGTTAAATATATTGATGTCATTATAATTTCCATACTACTTT